ACATTCTGATGAAGAGCATTACACCCCAGATATTCAGCATGCAACGGATCTGCAACACGCAAACACACGCGGCGTGACCATCAAGTCCCACCATGTGATTAATTAAACTACAAACAGGATGTAACAGGAAGGACCCTTTAACTATGCAGACGCATAAAACTAACCAAGACTCCTTTGACCCAACCGAACTTCACCAGTCTCCTTTCGCCTGCTTTGCAGCCAACGCCGCGCCGCCTCCTCGGCTGCTGACGGCTCCTCTCCATTGGCCAGGCCATCCTCAAACGGCTCCTGGCAACCAATCACAGCACAGGGAATTGAATCACAGATTGAATTGAATACCCCGACTCCACTAGACAGCTCCCTCCTGAACAGACTCTTCATCTAAATATGCAATATGGACAGCGTCTTTCACATGGGTTATTTTGGCTTCACTTTTGTACAATGTGAGGACATGTTGTCCATCTTTATATACAGTCAATGGTTTAACTAAATAACAGATTTACTTGATTTAATTGAACCTGTTAAACTTTGTCAAGTAGGTGTGGTGCCTAAACCGATCAGACGCCTTTGATCCAAAGTGACAAACATCAGAGAGTAAGAACAACACGAGCAAGAATCTAGAGAGGAGGAAACGTCGGCACAGGGTTTTTACAATATCGACGTCATCATAAACAATGACGGTAAGGTAAGAGGATGTGTTCCCTGCCTAGCTGTTCACACATGCACTCCTTAAAATTTCTAGAAAATTTCAGGAGGACTGCCCCTGAAATCCTCCTGATCTGGTCGTCCACACATGATGCACCTCACAGCGCGAGACTATCCCTGTCAGACAGGAGGGGGCGGCGGGGTCTCCTGAGGTAAGATGTGACGTAAAAGTAGTTGAAGAGAATCTCAATGTGAACTAAAGAGAGGAGAAGAACATCCTGGAGAACAGGAAACATGCAGCAGCAGGTTGATTAGAGCACGGAGATGGTAGAGGTGGGGTGCACTGGCTCCAGGTGAATTCTCCTGATTATATCCTTCTCACTGGAGGAGAAACTCGGCTGTTTGGTTTACACGTGTTGGTGTGACGGCCTTGTATGGGGGGTTAGGGTTGGGTGACAGTTTGAGGGTTCTTTTTATTTTCTTATTTTCTATTTAAAAAGAGCTAAAACGTAACTTTCTGCAAGCTGAATCAGTGACTTCCTTTGAGTAGAAGTTGTGGCATGTGTGAAGGAGTACAGAAACTATTCCAGGAATGTTGTAAGAACACATCAGTGCTCATTATTCCGACCACACAGCGATGTTTAATTTATACTGCAGCAGTGGAGGTTGTGGCCTCAGTGGGTCGACTCGCTCTGTGACATGGAGCAGAGAGTCCGGTGGTGTTTATATGTTTCATTTGGAGCCAGGGGGAGAGGAGAGGTAGCTTCTCTTTGTGCTGTGCTGAAAAAGTCCAGAACAAAATCAAATACAGATTGATCCTAAAGGGGTTCGGGTTAGGCGCTGACTGCAGAGACTCTGTAATCTGACTGGACTTTACTGTTCAGGTTCAGTCGGGAAGTTACGAGGAGGGGTAGAGGACACGTTTCCACCAGCCAATGACAGCATGCAGATGAGTTTAGGAGTGACTGGACATTATTCAAACTGCTGAATATGGTGAACACAGACGTAGCTGCAAAGAAGAGAAGATATAATAATAGTGAGGCCAATCACCAAGCGATGAAGCTCGCTCCAAAACGAGGGTGAACCGCTTTCAGGCTCTTAAAGAGTGAGAGAGGGACGAGGAGTCGGTCCGCTTTCTGTTGGACAGGCAGCAACAAACACTGGAGGTTAGCTTGTTAGCTTGTGCTATCTTGCCTAAAAATTGGCTAAAACTCGGCTTTCCATTACAACAAATGTCATATTCTCAGGTCGCTTGAACCAGTAAACGTACACGCTATGTCCTGCCATCACCCAATGCAACAAGTTGACAATGCAACAAGCCTGTGGTGGCGATGAGCCCGGGAGGAGGGAACCAATCTGAATGCTGCGCTGAACATTGTGACTGACTCTACCTTTAAGTCGCTGTGACGTCACCAAACATCCCGCTGTTCATCTGGTACAATGTACATCTATGTTACAGATACCTAGTCCTGTAAGAGGAGTGGGAGCCTGCAGGGTCATGAGAGGCTGCATTGTGTGTGTGTGTGTGTGTGTGTGTTCAGGTCATGCCTGTAGTGATGTCACTGAGCCCACTCAGGGTCTCTGAATGGAATATTTTCAGTTGAAGATTTCTGTAACTGACATAAACAAACTCCTATGAGAAGAACAAGAGGGACGCTTCATCCTTTAAAACACAGATGACAGGTTGTTGTTCAGTTTGTTCAGCTGGAGTTTACAGACTGAAAAACACTCCATTCATATAATGTTCATTATGTTTTTATAACGGGGGAAAGTCAGAGGACGAAGGTGTTGAAATGATGAGAACTTTAAATCTCCAAATGCAAAATATTAAAACAAAAATCCCTCTTTGTTTTCC